CCCTGGGCCGAGGGTGTCTTGTGCACCACGCACCAGCGCGCTCGCCACTCGGCTGTCGGCTCTCCTTGTCAGCAGAGAGTTTAGAACTCGGTCCTGCTTTACGAGTCTCGGTCTCCCGGATTGCAAGCGTTCGAGTCGGGCCAAGTCCACCTCCTCGACGCGCTGCAGCCCGGGTCGACTCCTGGCCAGAAACAAGGAAAAATGCCAGTAAAAGAGCCCCCCGGGCGCGAGGAGGTTAGGTTAGGCTAGCGGAACGTGCATTTATTGGCCTTTTGACCATGATTTCGACCCGGCCTGCAGCGCGTCTAGGAGGTGGGCTTGACCCGACTTGAACGCGTGCAATACGGAAGACCAAGACCCGTAAACCAGCACCGAGTTCTGAACTCTCTACCGACGTATGGAGCCGACAGCCGAGTGGCGAGCGTGCCGGGGCAGTGCCCGGACACCCTCGCTCTCGGGATCGAATCCCGTCCGTGGAACTTTTTTCCCCCTCCGCTGGTCATGTCTTTGGGTGTCAGCGACAGCTGAGATCGGAATGTCGCCGGAACGCACGCCACTATGCCGTTCCTCTGCTCTGTGGATACATCGGTAGCAAGCCGGCCCGGCATGTGGTTGGTCGCTGGTTCGAATACTATCTGAGGCCCATTTTTCCCGTTGTTATGGCTACAGCTATGTGGCAGCCACAGACATCGTAGATTGGCTCGACCCCTGAAGCACGTTTAAACATGTACCCTTCGTGGCTAACTTGGTAAAGTGCCCAGTCGGCGCGTGTATGTTCGCAGGTTCGGCTCCCCTCCGGAGAACGTTTTTTCCGCTCTGCCGGCGATGTGTTTTCAGGTGTGAGCGGCAGTCCAGATAGGCTTGCCCGCTGCACCACTTTCATCTCGCCTCCGTGGCTCAGTTGGTAGAGTGTCAGTTCGAAGGTGGCTTGGTCGCGGGTTCGAAAACTCCCCGTGGTTCATTTTTCCCGAGGTGGCCCCAGGTGGCCTGTAGAGACATATACGCAGAAGCGGACTTGGGCTCACCACCAGCAGCCAGTGGCCGCGTGGGTTAAGGCGTCTGGGACTGATCGCTTCGGTGTGGGAACGACTCCCACCCGAAGCGGGCGGTCCACGACTTTTCTCGCTCCTCCGCTCTCTATTGCGAAGGGGCGAAGGCAGAAACAAGACTCTCGCAGCGATCGACAGTAACGTGGCGCCGTAGCTGAGTCGGTAAAGGGCCAGCTCGGAGAACCGATGGTCAGAGGTTCGAGGCCCACCAGGAATTCGTTTTCCACTTTCCGTTTGCAACGACCGGGCGAAGGCAGCTCAAATATGATCCAGACGCCGTTTTCTCTCGCCGCCTAGGTAGTGTAGTGGTATCGCGCTCTAGCTGGCTCCGTCCCCCCGGGGGTCGTTGGTTCGGTTCTCCGGACCAGCGGCCCTCTCCCCTCCCCTCCCTTCCCCCGGGGCAAGCGATGATGAGGAGCGATACCACTGACACCGAAGCTCATTTTGCCTTTTTTTTAAATTAAGGTTAGGTTAGGTTAGGTTAGGTTAGGTTAGTCTGTGTTCAGATCGCAAAATGAGCTTCGGTGTCAGTGGTATCGCTCCTCATCATCGCTTGCCCCGGGGGGAGGGAGGGGAGGGGAGGGGAGAGGGCCGCTGGTCCGGAGAACCGAACCAACGACCCCCGGGGGGACGGAGCCAGCTAGAGCGCGATACCACTACACTACCTAGGCGGCGAGAGAAAACGGCGTCTGGATCATATTTGAGCTGCCTTCGCCCGATCGTTGCAAACGGAAAGTGGAAAACGAATTACTAGTGGGCTTCGAACCCTTGACCATCGGTTCTCCGAGCTGGCACTTTACCGACTCAGCTACGGCGCCACGATACTGGCAATTGCTGCGAGAGTCTTGTTTGTGCGTTCACCCCTTCGCAATAGAGAGCGAAGGAGCGAGAAAAGTCGTGGACCGCCCGCTTCGGGTGGGAGTCGTTCCCACACCGAAGCGATTAGTCGCAGACGCCTTAACCCACTCGGCCACTCACTGCCGGTGGACTGCCATTGTCCGCTTGTGCCTATGTCTCTACCGACTACTGCCACTGACGCCAGGAAAACACATGAAAACACAGAAAGAAAAATGCTCCCCGGTCGGGATTTGAACGTGCGAT